CAATGTGCAAAACAAAATTATATATATATATATGAATTAATTGAAATAAGAATTTTTTAAAAAAATATATGTAAATATATATGAAGTTCAACAGAAGAAAATGTGCAAAAGAGAAGATGTGCAAAAAAGTTTTTTTTGAAGTTCAGCAGGGAAAAGATGATAATATACTCTCCTTTCAAGCTGCTTATGGTTGTGCAGCTGGAAACATGCGGCTTCTCTTCTGAGCCTGTAAAGGTATAAGGATTTCTCCCTCCTAGAGCCTCTCCTCACTCCAATGCTCAATGTATCCTCATATGACCCATAGGAAAAAAGGAATAAAGATATGGTGCCTTATCCAAGGTAAATAAAAACACTCTTTAATGTGCTCCCATAATGCACTCACATTGTTTAAACAGTAAACACGCCTTTATTGTAATTTAAACCACAGAATGCAGTGAGGATCAGCCTCGTAGGAGTGTTATCACACTCCGTCAGTACTCGCCGTAATGATGATCCGATACGTGGCGACGGCACGTGGGGGAGGGGCAGCGACGTCATCTTTTCCCTGCTGAACTTCAAAAAAACTTTTTTGCACATGTTCTTCTGTTGAACTTCATATATATTTTTTTACTTTTTTTATTTTTTATTTCAATTAATATTATATATATATATATATATATATATATATATATATATATATATATAAAATTATTTTTTGTTTTGCACAATTTGCACATTGGACTTTATGAATGTATTTATTTATTTTTAATGAGATATTTATATTGTAAAATTATCACAATTGGATTTATTCACACATTTTTTATTTATATTTACTTTTTGGTAAAACACTGTGGGAATATAATTTGATTAATTTTGGTAATGCAGTTTATAAATTGATATTTTCACAGTATATATTAATAATCAGTTATATTTTTAAGTATATAGTATTGGCACGGTAGTATTAGAGCGCGGTAATTATTAATTGTTTTTATATATAGTACACATCTTATGAGGGTGAGCAAGGATTCCAGCGACCTAATACACTGATTCTTTACTGCAGTGGCTCACAAGTCCATTCATCTAATAGTATGACTTAGTACTTGGTGGAGAAATCCTTGTTGGCAAGCACAGAAGACGCTTCTTATGGATGGTTACCAGGTTTGCACACCTCAAAAAGGGATTTTGGTCCACTCTTCTTTACAGATCTTCTCTACATCCTTAAGGGTTCTTGGCAACTCGAAGTTTCAGCTCCCTTCATAAGTTTTCTATAGGATTAAGGTCTGGAGACTGGCTAGGGCACACCATGTGCTTCTTCTTGAGCCACTCCTTTGTTGCCTTGGCGGTATGTTTTGGGTCATTGTCATGCTGGAAGACCCATCTTCAGTGTTCTGGCTGAAGGAAGAAAGTTCTCATTCAAGATTTTACAATACATGGCCCCGTCCATTGGCCCCTCAATGCGGCAAAGTCGGCGTGTGCCTTTAGCAGAGAAACAGCTCCAAAGCATAATGTTTCCACATCCATGGTTCACTGTAGTAATGGTGTTCTTGGGGTCATAGTCTACATTTTTCTTCCTCCAAACACAGCAAGTCATGTTAATGGCAAAGAGCTCAATTTCGGTCTCATCTGACCATAGCACTTTCTCTCAATCCTTCTCTGAATCATTTAGATGTTCATTGGGAGACTTCAGATGGGCCTGAACATGTGCCTTATTGAGGAGGGGGACCTTGCAGGTGCTGCAGGATTTCAATCTGTGGCGGCGTATCGTTTTACCAATGGTTTGTTGGGCGAGTGTGGTCCCAACTGCCTTAAGATCATTCACAAGCTCCTCCTGTGTATTTCTGGGCTGATCCATCACTTTTCTCATGAGGTGAAATCTTGCATGGAGCTCCAGACTGAGGGCGATTGAAGGTTATTTTGTATTTCTTCCATTTGCGAATAATTACTCCAACAGTTGTCTCCTTCTCACCAAGCGTCTTGCTGATTGTCTTGTGGCCCATACCAGCCTTGTGCAGGTCTACAATCTTGTCTCTGGTGTCCTTTGACAGCTCTTTGGTCTTGTCCATGGTGATGAGGTTTGAATAGAAGAAAGATTCTCTAGACTGGTGTCTTTTATACACATAACAAGTTGTCATTAACAGCACTTTCTTAAATTGACAGGACTAATCTGTGTACCACATGAGCACATAGCCATTCTGTGGAAGCCAGAATTATTGTTGTTAGTTGGTGGGGGATCAAATACTTATTTTACTCACTGAACTGCAACTCAATTTATAACATTTGTATCGTGTTTTTTCTGTTTTTTTTGCTTGATAATCTGTCTCTATCATTTAAAATAAACCTATGATAATTATAGACCCTTCATTTCTTTGTAAGTGAGCAAATGTACAAAATCTGCAAGGGATAAAATTTATTTTCACTACTGTATATGAAGGAAAATTTCAGGTTGCACTTGACATTTAGGACATGTGGAGGTAGTTTGTTTACTCATTTTGAATAATTTGCAGGTAGGATAGTGCACACATGGTATAAGTATTTTAATTCTGGATTTGTTTATCTTTAGAGCAGGGATGTCAAAATGGTGGCCCTCCAGCTGCTGCCAAACTACAAGTCCCATCATGCCTCTGCCTTTGGGAGTCATGCTTGTAACTGTCAATCTTGCAATGCCTCATGGGACTTGTAGTTTGGCAACAGCTGGAGGGCCACCAGTTTGACACCCGTGCTTTAGGAGGATATTACGGACGTACTATAGGGACCTGGGATATGCAGCCAGGCCTCCTCTGACCAACTGGGAGATGCATTCTTTGGTTGGGGGTCGTAGAAAACAGTGGCAGAAGAATGCCACACACTGTACAGATGTAAACTTTGCCAGCAAGATCCTGTGTACCAGTTGCCATATTTTAATATGACCGCATGTATGTAGCCTTGGGGGCTATGTTGGACCAATGTCACACTCATTTGTGCAGGCTGCAAAAATTTTGGTCGTAATTTCTGTAATTGATTAATTCCTAGGACCGTCAGCCTCATCTAGAGGCCAAAGTGTGGTATACTTTCTTATTGATGTATTTAGGACAAAGACACATTTTGGCCACTAAATGGAACCAAATATCATAGGAAATAAAGCAGCACTAAACTTACCTTTAATTCAATGGTCCCCTCCCTTGCTGGCATCTTCTGCTGTACAACGGTCTTGCCCATCTTCATTGGCAGTGCAGGATGACGTCATTCCTGCGCACACAGGAGTTAGTCATACCAGCACACAGAGAATGGGTAGGCATTGTAAGCTTAGGTGCGCATGCGCAGCTCAGTTTACATGCTGAGGACAGCAAGCAGGCAGGTAGGTAGGGGCATCTTATTTCAGAAGAGACATGAACCTGCTTGCTTGTTTGTGACAATGGAGCTTTTAGTTCCTCCTCAATCAATTAAAGAAATTATGGCCAAAATGTGAAATTCATCCATCAAATGTTTTATAACCGCTATATGTCCAATTAGCAATATTAGAAGTGAACAAAATCAGACTTCCAACTCACAACAGGTTTGTTTCCAATTTAAAAATGGACCACCAAAAAAAAAAAAAAAAAAAAAAAATGCATTATACAGCAAAAGTTCTTTATTTTAAAAGCTTGGTATTGGCATAGAACATTTTCTTTTCATTTTACAGTTGTGTAATAAAATAAATATTCGCATTAAATGACATTTTAACAATTAAAAGATGTACAGAGACAACACACACAAAAGTACCTTAAAAAAAATGCAAATTTTTTCTTAGGAATAAATATAATTGATCATTATTTACGTAGTTTAATTAATTTGTTGTCTTCTGAATGCAGTGACAAGCCCGGAGCTGAAGATCAGGAATGTACAGATAGTAGCACATAAAATCAGAGGTAACAATCAGTTAACCCCTGTTTTGCAATAACTACAAATCCCAGCAAGCCACAAAGGATTCTAGTTCCTTGTAAGCCGGACCAGCCAGATCCTCCCTCTTAGATTGTAAGCTCCAAGGAGCAGGGCGCTGCTAACCCTCTTGTATTGAACTGTATTGTCTCCCATTATATTGTAAAGTGCTGAGCAAACTGTTGGCGCTATATAAATCTTGTATAATAATAATAATATAAATCCTGTATAATAATAATAAAGCCCCGCTGCAGCAAATTTTTTGCAGGGAATAGTGAGGATCTTTGTCAGCTTTTAATAGTTGGAGCCTCTTCAGTTCAAGTAGACATTCCATCTCTTTTTTTCCCAGTTGAGCCAATGTCAAAACGTTCATCTCTTCCCCCCGCAGTTTACGAAAAAGAAGAGTGGACTTTTTTCTAGTTCTGCTCACCTCACTTCTGCATTTCTCACCGAGGCAAGAATGATGTAGTCTGCCCGCAGGCTCTTGAGATAGGACTCGTACCTTGGAGTAGTCTGAGGGCAATTCAGAGAACTTACATTATCTCCTTGATCTGACGATGTTGCTGATGTTATGGCAGCATGTAAAACAATATCATTCCCCAGCTAGACTCTTGGGGGTGCATGCACAGAATGGCAGTACTTCATAAAGGGAGGTCAGCTTAGGAAATAAGGAAGCGGCTGGGTCACATGACACACATACAGAGGATGGCCACGTGGAAGGGACAAGGCAGTTAAAGTTCACTAGAATGTAAGAAAAAAATTGGCCTCCATGGAAGAGTGAGTATGCCTTTTAAAATTGTGTAACATTAACAGTTTGGTTTTTTTTTTAGTCCTCACTGATTTTGAGGGAATTTCCTCTTTCATGTCCTTTTAATTGCTGTCAGACAGATCTGGACATAAAATATGCTCCAACAGAAAAGAAAATTGCAAAAAAAAAAAAAAAAAAACACACCTGACAGAGGTCCCAATCCTCTACGCTATCCAAGAAAAAACAAAAAACAGAAGTACAATATGTAATCTGCCTGACCCATAGCAACAGACTTTTAAACCGGAAACCTCTGGCTTCAGTGGAGCATGTTGTCACCCTCCGCATTACCAGATTTAGTAAATAAGCTCAGCTGAGTCCTTCATTTGCGCCTGATTTCAGACTGCCATTCGGCAAAATACTTCTCCATGGTGGAGCGAGCTTTCCAGTTGCCGACGTTAACCGTTGGGATAATTTTCTGAGGTCTGGTGAACTGTACAAATCGCTTCATCTCCAGATAACTGCTGTGCTCACTGTATGGGATCCCTGGTCACAGAGAAGATTTACAGGAAATGTAGGCAAAGTAGACAAAAACTATGACTTATAGATTATCTAAACAAGAAGAATCTGATTTACTATACAACAACCCATCCATGGGCAGAGGTCATTAGCCTGGATGCCGAGGCCAACACGTAGCGTCAGTTATATTAACAATCGCTGACTAATCTGCCTGCCAAATAAATCTTTTAAAGCTAAATCTCCAATCAGAATAAACAGGGCTTGATTATTCTATCTTCCACTTCAAAAGTCTGATTCCCACTATCCTTTACTTCATCTGTGCTATGGTCGCATGAATGGCCCTGTATAGTCTCTGCAGGGCAAAACTGATGCCCTTACACCAGAGGTGCTCACGATGAGAGGACCCATTTGCGATGCTCCCTGGTCTGTCCCACCCATGCATGTCCTTAGCTTTACATGGGCAGGAAATTAAAATATGTGGGTGGTTATTGGGGCTGCAACGATTATTTTCATAATCGATTAGTTGGCCAATAATTGTTTTGAGAGATTATCCAGATAAAAACCTCAAAAAAAGTGTAGTGTATAATTTAGTTAATATGTAAAGTTTTAAAAAAAGAAAATGTATTCTTGAAGATCTAAAGTATCTCACAGGAGTACACCCCTCACATTTTTGTAAATCTATCTTTTCATGTGACAACACTGAAGAAATGACACTTTGCTACAATGTGACTTAGTGAGTGTACAGCTTGTATAACATGTAAATTTGCTGTCCCCTCAAAATAACACACAGCCATTTTTCTTTAACCAAAAGATCTCACTCACATTGTCACCTTGGACTTACTTTTAAGCTGATTGTGTGGCTAGTATGGTGAAGGAGGTGACAAACTCACTTACTGGCACACATTCGCACAGTGTCACTATATTATGCATATTTATATGTGAACCTATTGTTTTTATTTATCATTTTCTGTGAATTTTATTAACGCTGCACCCCCTATTTTTATTACTGTTTGCTTGTAGGTCTTATTTGGTGCCTTTGGTGCAAAGCTGCTGTTATATTACGTTAATTTTAGCGCTCACTTATTCCACTTCTTTAAAGAAGAAACATTGAGGTATTTTATTTCTGACTTCCTGAAAATGCTAGATGCCTGGCTGTTAAGCGGTTTGCCTTCAATACGTTCCTAGTAACGGCTTTGGATCAGATACGTGGATCCTGAAAGCCAAAGCTCTGCTCTACATTGGTCGGGTCTGGACAGTTGTACTATTTTGCCAATGCGGACCACGTTTTAAGCAATGTTGTATATTTACCAAAAGAAAAAATGAAACATTTTAAAAACCTTACCATAAATTGTGATTTTGCCTCGGATGTCAGGCCTGATATCGGCTACTGAGCTACAGCCCTCAGAATACGTCCACCCTGTAGGTTTGAAGGCCAGGACACGATCGTACTTTCCTGAAAATTTATTGAGATGGGCACCAAGACCCTGAAGGTGAACAGGAACATTGATTTAGACCATGCTGAATTCATAAAACCATCCTGACACCAACAATCTACTCAGATCTAAGACTTCGTGTAAGTGCAATTAACATTTCCAGTTTTAGAGTTCTGCTATGGGCCAGTTTATTTGGCAATGACTTTGTTATTACCTCAGGTAACAAAGTAATACACATAGGATTTACTAGAATATATATATATATATATATATATATATATTTATTATATTTTTTTTATTAGCTGCCGCCCGTCTGCAGTACATTGCAGGCAGGCGGCCTGAAAGTGGTTAAATGCATAAAAAAAAAAACCCACACACCCCCCGCTTCCCTTTTGACTTGCTAATATTACCATTTTCTTTTCTACAGTGCCTTGAAAAAGTATTCATTCCCCTTGAAATTTTTCCACATTTTGTCATTTTACAACCAAAAAAAAACGTAAATGTATTTTATATGATAGGCCAACACAAAGTGGCACAGAATTGTGAAGTGGAAGAAAAATGAGAAATTGTTTTCAAAATTTTGTGTGGTGTGCATTTGTATTCAGCCCCCCGGAGTCAATACTTTGTAGAAACCCCTTTTGTTGCATTACAGCTACAAGTCTTTTTGGGGATGTCTCTACCAGCTTTGCACATCTAGAGAGGGACATTTTTGCCCATTCTGTCAGATTGGATGGAGAGTGTCTATGAACAGCAATTTTTCAAGTCTTGCCACAGATTCTTCATTGGATTTAGGTCTGGACTGTGACTGGGCCATTCTAACACTTGAATATGCTTTGATCTAAACCATTCCATCGTAGTTCTGGCTGTATGTTTCGGGTCGTTGTCCTGCTGGAAGGTGAACCTCCTCTCCAGTCTCAAGTCTTTTGCAGACCAACAGGTTTTCTTATAAGATTGCCCGGTATTTTCCCCCATCCATCTTCCCATCAACTCTGACCAGCTTCCCTGTTCCTGCTGTAGAAAAGCATCCCCACAACATGATGCTGCCACCACCATGTCTCACAGTGGGGATGGTGTGTTCAGGGTGATGTGCAGGGTTAGTTTTTCCGCCACACATAGCATTTTGCTTTTAGGCCAAAAAGTTCAATTTTGGTCTCATCTGACCAGAGCACCTTCTCCCACGTTTGCTGTGTCCCCCACATGGCTTCTCCTAAACTGCAAACGGGACTTCTTATGGCTTTGGTTCAACAATGGCTTTCTTCTTGCCACTCTTCCATAAAGGCCAGATTTGTGGAGTGCACAACTAATAAATGTCCTGTGGACAGATTCTCCCACCTGAGCGGTGGATCTCTGCAGCTCCTCCAGTTACCATGGGCCTCTTGGCTGCTTCTCTGATGAATGCTCTCCTTGCCAGGCCTGTCAGTTTCGGTGGACGGCCATGTCCTGGTAGGTTTGCAGTTGTGCCATACTTTTTCCATTTTCAGATGGGTTGAACAGTGCTCTGAGATGTTCAAAGCTTGGAATTTTTTTTTTTTTTTTTTTTTTTTTTTTAAATAACCTAACCCTGCTTTAAAACTTCTCCACAATTTTATCCCTGACCTGTCTGGCATATTCCTTGGCCTTCATGATGCCGTTTGTTCACGAATGTTCTCTAACAAACCTCTGAGGGCTTCACAGAACAGCTGTATTAATACTGAGATTAAATTACACACAGATGGACTCCATTTACTAATTAGGTGACTTCTGAAGGCAATTGGTTCCACTAGATTTTAGTTAGGGGTATCAGAGTAAAGGGGACTGAATACAAAAGCACGCCACACGTTTCAGATATTTGTAAAAAAAAAAAAAAAATTTAAAACCATTGCATGATTTTCCTTCCACTTCACAATTATGTGTCACTTTGTGTTGGTCTATCACATAAAATCCCAAAAAAACATATTTACGTTTTTGGTTGTAATATGACAAAATGTGGAAAATTTCAAGGGGTATGAATACTTTTCCAAGGCACTTTATGTAAGGAGGGGCTGGGTTATGTTTACCACAAATAACCCCGTTTGTATGGTGCCGGCTGGGTTATCTGTCCCTACACATTTTAAACAACAAAGGTTGCCAATACAGTCCTGTATATAGAGCCCAAATCCACTAAAAACAAAAATTTGAAAGGCAAGATTTTTTTAAATTATTTTAGGTATGCTATGTGGATTGGAACACAAACATAGAATAGTTTCCCAAACCTGGCTACATATTGTATGGTTAGAATCCTCAACGGTGGCAACCGATTCTGGGTAGTTGAACTAACTGTGGTCAAGCGGTTTCCCATTTGCTCTTTTCCCATTGTGGCCCTTAATGTAGCTGTTGTCCCCATGGTCTGCTCCCTGGGGAGTTCAGCGGGGGGGATTTTTAGGGTTCCCACTGTCTATTACCCGTCTCACCTCCTATGTATGCCGAGACCTATAATTCCTTCCAAGTGATACAGATCTCAGGTTATTTAGATGGCTGGGGAGAGTGAGCCATTGTTATGTTGTTCTGTTATTTAATGTTGTATTTATAGTTTTCTAATCTGAGCCGGGGAAGGCCCAGGAGGATCTGTTTTGTACAAAATTTCTCTTTCTGCAAAAATTTCAATGAAAAAAAAAAAACAAAAAAAAAAAACACAAAAAAAAACACTTGGCTGCAAGTGTGGAAATACACGTTATGGCCTGTTGTACCAACTCACCTTAAAGCTAACCTGCATCATGGGAAGGACATGTAGTGTAGTGCTGTGCCAGTCTGTGGTGATAAGGGAACGGATCTCATCAGACTCCAGACATTGCATGGTCTTGTATTTGTCCGGAGACATGCACACCTTACAGCCCAGAACATCAGCAATAGCTGCAGACAGAAGACAAAAGTTACTGAGAGGAAATGGAAACACTTAAAAAAAAAAAAAAAAAAAACACTTTTCAACAAAAAAGGCAAAAACTTCTTACCCAGAAAGACTTTCTCCTTCCCAACAGAATAGGTCCCACAAACCACCAACGTTCGTGGATACAGTGTCACCATCTCAAAAGCAGTATTTACAGCAAACTGTATTGCCTCCTGCTGCGGGGGAAAGGTGTACTCAGGACTGCAGTATCTGCAAGTTTGGGGGGAAAAAAAAAAAAAAAAAATCCCAAAAAGCAGTAAGAATAAATGTTACTTTATAAAAAGGTCAGTGTAAAATTACACATGAACTACGAAAGTGACCAAGTACTTCATAGTACTTAAAGTGTAAGTAAACCCATACTGAACATTTACAGATAGTTTGTATTTATTAAAAAAAAAAAAAAAAAAATTATATTATATTATATATTATATATATATATATATTTTTTATTATACAATATATTTATTATAATCTCAAAATGACCTGGTGATTCTGACAGAGGCTCGTACTTTCTTCCTCAGACAAAGGAACGTCCTGGTTTCTCGTTCAGCCGTCCTGCAATAGTACCCTACTGAACACCGTATTGCATCCTACATCCTAGTAGTCCGCCTGTATTTGCGCGGGTAAACTTGCCTCCTGGTCCCGCCCCCTTCTGAAAACATGTGAGCCTCTGCCCACAGCACGTGTTGACAGAATGGTCATGTGACTATTTCGGAAGAACTAGAAATGTTTTTTTCAGTATTTTATCCTAAACAGCATAAACCAATGGTTAAACATTGCTATTATGTATTTAATATATTTTTTAACCCCTTCAGCTCTGGAAGGGTTTACCCCCTTCATGACCCGAGCATTTTATTGCTATTCGGCACTGCGTTACTTTAATTGGCAATCGCGCTGTTGTGCAACACTGTACCTGCATGAATTTTATATCAGGGTTGCACCAATACCTTTTTTTTTTTCTTTTAAATGTTGAGTGTCGATGTGTGCTCAAGTACTCATCGATACCAGATACCTTTGCTGTGCGATTTGAGCCCATACAAAATGAATAGGCTCAAATCACGCTGCAAAGAATCGTATGTGATTCTAACAGCAATGAAGTGCAATTTGTCGGAATCACATGCGGTTTCCCTGCAGGTGTGGTGCGATTTGAGCCATACAAAATGAATGGCTGATGCTATGCATGGTCACTATACTAGAGACACTGGCTGGGAAGGGGGTTAACATCTAGTGGCAATCAAAGGGTTACCTGTGTGCCTAACAATGTGTGTAACATATGCTGTTTTTACTACTAGATGCGACCGTTTTATCTCCCTGCTTTGCAGGGAGCAAAAAAGAGCGACATCACTGCTCTCCGTTCAGAGCCCTGTGTGTCAGTTGCCTGGACCTGCTGATTGCTTTGAGGTGTAGCGATTGACAGCACAAACCCTACCCAGAAATGCCAGATCACATACATGTGCGGGGCCGCTCTGCTGCATTAAAACGGTGTTAAGCAGTCCTTAAATGGTTAAACAATCGTGCTGCGGTACACAGCTAAAGAGTGGCCTGTGTCTGGTCTGCTAATCGGTGGAGGTGAGATCTTCCCCATACTCTAAGCTCCATTCATGTTTTAGCCACCTTCCCCTTAATTTTGCCACAAAAAAAAAAAAAAAAAAAAAAAAGTGTACCGTATTGGTTCACTCCATAAGACGCACCTAGATTTTAGAGGAGGAAAAGAAGAAAAAAAAAAAATATTCTGAACCAATGGACTGCCGACACGGTACGGGACATGACCAGAGACTGCAGACCTTTGGGGAGCAGGTACCCGAATTTTACAGGAACCTGCTCCCACTCCCACAGTCTTGTGGGACACATGACAGGTCCCAGAAGACTACGGGGGCCATTCACAAAGCGCAGCGCTTCTCGCACATGCGCAGTGGGCACCTGGCTGTGAAGCTGCAAGCTGTCACAACCGGGTGCCCACACTGAAGATGCCGGCGCCAGGGAAAGAAGACGGTGTTGAAAGCAGGACACTGCTGGACCGAGGAGCAGGTTCTTCTGCACAGTAGAGCCGAGCGGCAGGCCTGGTATTCTAACACGGAGGCAGCAACAGTGGGAATATCGGGCCGGCTGCTCCATAAGACGCACAGACATTTTCCCCCATCTTTTTTTCTGTCATCCAGAGTCAGCTCTTCTCTAGGGCTCTGGTTGTCAGTGACAGCAAGGGTCATGCACAAAACCTGGGAGTTGAAATAGCCAGTTCCTGGTCTACTGATCCTTCTACAGATCACTCCATATCATGCAAGCTGTAGAAGACAATGTAAAACGTGCACTTTACATTGGGAGTGTAGTGACGTCACAGGATATCCTGACAGTACTGATCGGGCAGAATTGTTGCAGCTCTTTCCAGCTTTTCCCTACAGCAGTACAAATATAATTTTTTTTTTTATATTATAATTGATTATAAATTTTTTATTCCAATACAAAACATCCCTTCCCAAAATCCCCATGTTGCAGCAATGATGTCAAATGATCTGGATGATGATTGGGTTTACTGCGCAAGCACCAAATGCTCAATTAAGTGAACACAACGCTGAATTTCCTGCGATCACAAACCAGTGAAGAAAAATTCACTGTCATGCTAGTTTGTGCCCTCATTAACCAGGGTAACCCTAGGTTCACACCTAAGCATTGTCTACCCCGTTTTGCAGAAACATAGCACAGTCCATTTAACATGATTTCTTATGGGACATGTTGACATCTCCGCATTTTTACCTGGTGTGTTTTTTGGAAATGGTCAGGGACTTTAAACGCAAAACGTTGCGCGTTTGTTTCTACAGACTACAATGGGAACGATGCAGAAAAGCATGTATTGCGTTTTTGACGTGTTCTGCATTTTAAATCTGCCTAGCAAGAAGAAAAAAAAACACAAAAAAAAAAAAATTAAAAAAAACGCAACTCAAAAGCGGCCGGTCTGGTATTTCTGCCGCCACCATGTCAGAATACCGGGCCGGCTGCTCAGCTCTTCTCTCCTGCAGGGCCTTACCTGTTCCTCGCTCCAGCGCTGTACAGTCTTCCCGCGCTAGCTTCTGTGACAGCCGGGTGCCCACTGCGCATGCGCGAGAAGCGCTCCGCTTTGTGAATGGTCAGCTGTCTTCTGGGACACGACAGGTCCCAGAAGGCGCCGGACCATTCACAAAGTGGAGCGCTTCTCGCGCATGCGCAGTGGGCACCCGGCTGTCACAGAAGCCGGCGCGGGAAGAAGAGCGAAGGACAACTCCGCGGAAGTGGGAGCGGGTACCTGTCAAATTCAGGTACCCGCTCCCCCTCCCTCCCCAAAGGTCCACAGTCTCTGGTCATCCCCTGTACTGTGCCCGCAGTCTCTGGTCATCCCCTGTACTGTGCCCGCAGTCTCTGGTCATCCCCTGTACTGTGCCCGCAGTCTCTGGTCATCCCCTGTACTGTGCCCGCAGTCTCTGGTCATCCCCTGTACTGTGCCCGCAGTCTCTGGTCATCCCCTGTACTGTGCCCGCAGTCTCTGGTCATCCCCTGTACTGTGCCCGCAGTCTCTGGTCATCCCCTGTACTGTGCCCGCAGTCTCTGGTCATCCCCTGTACTGTGCCCGCAGTCTCTGGTCATCCCCTGTACTGTGCCCGCAGTCTCTGGTCATCCCCTGTACTGTGCCCGCAGTCTCTGGTCATCCCCTGTACTGTGTCCGCAGTCTCTGGTCATCCCCTGTACTGTGTCCGCAGTCTCTGGTCATCTCCTGTACTGTGTCCGCAGTCTCTGGTCATCTCCTGTACTGTGTCCGCAGTCTCTGGTCATCTCCTGTACTGTGTCCGCAGTCTCTGGTCATCTCCTGTACTGTGTCCGCAGTCTCTGGTCATCCCCTGTACTGTGTCCGCAGTCCACTGGTTCAGAATATTTATTTTCTTGTTTTTCACCTCTAAAACCTAGGTGAGTCTTATGGTCAGGTGCGTCTTATGGAGCGAAAAATACGGTAAACTTCCAATATTAACCCAAACACAATATGTATCCAAATCTGTTACCAAATTAAAGTATCATCTTTCCCCAAAAAACCCAAATCTATAAAAAGATATTAAAGGTAGACTAAAAACAAAACAAAAAAAACAGTATAAACATACAGAAACCGAGACATCACCGAAATGGAAAACAAAATGCCCTGCGGCATAAGGCGATTTATGGAGAAAAGGGCTTGGCAGCTCCAGTGGTTAAAGACACCTTGTAATAATTAATTACAATCAAGCCTTGTCTGGTGTGGTTTCTTACGTGGTATCCAGATAAAGGGTGTGGATCTTCCGTCCAATTAGAGCCGGATAGCGTTCCATGGAAGTGTCCGCACGGAAGTCCCCGGTGTGCAATATTGTGGTCCCATTCGGGAGAATGAAGAGCAGCAGCACAGCCCCTGGGCAACTGTATATGGATAGGAAAGGGAGAGAAGGCTTTATACAGCATGTAATATAAGTATTGAACATGTCACCATTTTTCTAAGTAAATATATTTCTAAAGGTGCTATTGACATGAAATTTTCACCACATGTCAGTAACAACCCATGCAATCCATACATACAAAGAAACCAAAAAAAATAAGTTCAGAAATGAAGTTATGTCTAATAGGATGGAATGACACGGGGAAGAAGTATTGAATACATGAAGAAAGGGAGGTGAAAAAAGGCATAGAAAGCCAAGACACCAGCCCCTTGTCAGTGCAATTTAATATCAGCTGGTTCAGTCTCAACTGATGGCCTATTATACAAAAAAAAAAAAAAAAAAAAGTGGTCTCGTTACAAAGGTGTCACACAAGAAACATCTCATGAGGAGCAAAAGCAAAGACCTTTGCAATCTTATTGTTGCAAAACATACTGATGGCATTGGTTACGGTATACAAAATGGATTCGGTTATATTCCATTAATCCTTTCAAAGGGTTTCCAAACTTCTGAATGTTCCAGTGAGCAGTGTTGCGGCCATAATCCGAAAGATCATTTCACCATAAAACGGCCACGACCAGGAGCTTCTCGCAAGATTTCTGACAGAGGAGTGAAATTAATTATCAGAAGAGTTGTCCAGGAGCCAAGGACCACTTGCGGAGAGCTTCGGAAAGACCTGGAATTAGCAGGTACAATTGTTTCAAAGAAAGCAATGCACTCAACCGCCATGGCCTGTATGCACCTTCACCACGCAAGACTCCATTGCTGAAGAAAAAGCATATTGAAGCTCATTTAAATTTTTCTGCACAACATTTAGACAAGCCTGTGAAATACTGGGAGAATATAGTCTGGTCAGATGAAACCAAAACTGAACTCTTTGGATGTCATAATACACACCATGTTTGGAGGTCAAATGGCGCTGCACATCACCCCAAAACACCATACCAACAGTGAAGCATGGAGGTGGGAACATCATGGTGTGGGGATGTTTTTCAGCATACAATACTGGCAAGCTTCATGTGATTGAAGGAAGGATGAATGGAAAAATTTACCAAGACATTCTTGATATAAATCTGCTGCCATCTACCAGGATGATGAAGATGAAACGAGGGAGGACATTTCTGCAAGGCAATGATCCCAAACACAAAGCCGAGGAAACTCTCAAATGGTTTCAAAGACAGAAAATAAAGCTGCTAGAATGGCCCAGCCAATCACCTGACTTGAATCCAATAGAAAATCTATGGAAAGAAATAAAGATCACAGTTCATAGAAGGAGGGCCATGGAACCTTCCACATTTGAAAACTGTGGAAAAAATGGGCCAAAAATCACACCTGAGCAATGCATTCAACTACTTTCTCCATACAGGAGGCGTCTTGAAGCTGTCATTACCAACAAAGGATTTTGTACAAAGTATTAACTAAATTTCAGTTAGCGTGTTCAATAATTTTTCCCTGTGTAATTCCATTTTATTACACAATGTCATTTCTGAACTTGTTTTGGTTTCTTTGTATGTATGGATGGATTGCATGCGTTGTTACCGACATGGTGAAAATTTCATGTCAATAGCACCTTGACATGGGGGGGGGGGGGGGGGGGGGGGGGGGGGGGGGGGGTGTTAATAATAATTAAATAAATAAAATAAATAGACCTTTTTCACTTTCCTGCTTCATGCTACTAGCCTCTTCGCCCCTACACTCAGCATTTGCAAGTCCTTTAACATCGATAGGTACAATGCATGGTCACAAGCCAGAATGCACAGGAGTAGAGGAGAGCATCAGCTGCCGAGGGAGTGGAAGATTGGGGAAGGTTGCAGTCACACTATGCTGCTGTGAATATGCACATTGCTACCTGCATTTTGAAAAAACACTGCAAAATGTGCAACATGCTTGCAGTGCCATTATTTTTCTTAATGGCACCCCAAACACAGTTGACTTTGTCATGCAACAAAAATGCAGCTGGCTCAGGTGCTAAAATTTGTCACGTGAGCTTCTTTGGCACATTTGTCGTGAAAAGGGCAGCCCATTCAAAGAATCATTTATTGTGGCCATTGAAATGAATGCCCGAAAGCTAAATACACCTAGAGTTAACACACGTCAAGCGCGCTCTTTTCTGCCAAAACGCTGCTGCTCCTGGATTGCACTAGCCCTGTATTTTCTTCCCATCTGTAAAACACCCCTGCCAATAAAAGCTTCTAAAAAGTCTGTGTATGCATGGACACATAGGATAACATGGAGGGGCGTTTACAAGCAGGAAAAGAAAAAAAAAAAAAAAGTCTGAAAAAAAAAAAACAAAAAAAAAAAAAAAAAAACCCACCGTCCTGTGCACATGAGGCCTTAAGAGTTCTGCCCGTACGTCACAGTAGCACCCTGCTTACTTCCAATATTACAAATCCCTTTTTACTTTGATTGCTGCCAGCACCCTGGACCTGCCATTTTTGTCATTTTACATTGTTTGTCGTTTATGCACCCATTTTTATTAAAACACTCTATACACGATCTCTGGAAGATGAATAGCCTGAGCTCTGCAGAGCTTAACTAAATACTACTGTTATTGAATATACTAATGAAAAATGATTGCTTATGGCTACAGCAATGAAAAACCAACCAACATCTCCAGCTTTCTCAAGTTTAACCACTTGACCTCCAGAGGATTTACCCCGCTCAATGACCAGGCCTCTTTTTGCTACTCGGCGCTGCACTAATTCAACTGATAATTGCGCGGTCATGCAATGCTGCACCCAAACAAAATTTACGTTCTTTTTTTCACACAAATAGAGCTTTCTTTTGGTGGTATTTGATCACCTATGCGCTTTTTATTTTTCACGCTATAAACAAAAAAAAGGCCAAAAATTTTGAAGAAAAACAATATTTTTTACTTTCAGCTATAAAAAATATATAGTAAACTCTAAGTTGGTTATAAATTTAGGCCAAAATGTATTCTGCTCCATGTTTTTGGTAAAAAAAATCCCAATAAGTGAATATTGATTGCTTTGTGTGAACGTTATAGCGTCTGCAAACTATGGTATAGATACTGCAATGGGCAAACTACAGCCCGATGGACCTTTTAATCCGGCCCGCGGAGCGTGGCAAACATCGGCTGTCAGGATGTGTGTAGGCGGGGCAGCGTGAGGAACGTGAGGGGAGCTAGGCTCCTCTCACAGTCCGTACAAAAAAGAAGGGTTTGTGAAAAGAAATTCACAGGAAAGCGGCTACACTATGAACAGAATGTGATACTCAGAAAAAATTCCAAAAATTATGCTTTATTACATATAAATATTTGACATATGGGCAGTCGCCCTGGTTACCATCACCTCAGTATGAGACAATATACACACAGACCTAAAACCATATAAAATCACCAAGACCGGTCTAAATAAATGTGCTGCCAAGACAATGACAAAAATGTCTAAAGTTTTTGCCGCACTGGCACATAGGTTAACACTTCCCAAAGGAGGTGTACACAAAAATTATACCATAGGTATACAGTGTCACATGTAATAAATGTAAAGACATATGTCATAGCCATATAGGTTCTATCCCATAGAGGGGATTTCCCAAAAATTATACCAAAGGTATGAAATATCACATGTATGCATTGCGGCGAGCACAGTGTGCGTCAGAAGAGAGGCATAACCATAAGCCTATATAAGGCAGCAAAAGGATATCATATATAAAATGCAGTACAGTCCCATGCCAGTACATGTGGTTGGGGCCCATTCATCTGTAATAGAAGTGACTGATATTTAGGACTCTTTAGATGTAAATAACGCCCCGATTGTTGCCTGGATGGAGAAACAGATGCAGATAGCAGAACACTGCTTTAAGTGATGACTTCACCACAGTATGTGGACTACACATCACTTGTTGTTGAAAACAAGATAAAGCCCAGCGGCTCCTCCGCCCGTTGAAATATATATGGCATGCCTTGTTTCCTATGTAAAGCACCATAATGTCCCCATCCACCTGTGCAATGGGTAGTAAGAAAGAAGAGGATATCCTTCATGAGTACTGCCCTTCAAAAAAGTACTGCTGTATGGAACCAGGGAACCACCGCTTACATCAGCCGACATACCGCGGGTTCCGACCTCTCCATGGCGCCTGTGCCGCCTAAGCCTGCCTCATGGCATGTGAAGATGGCTACCTCCTTGTGGGTCAGCGTGCGTTCCACCTAGTGCGCATGACCGGAAGTGACGTATCTGACGTATGACGTCAACGCGTTTCGCCGATGGGCGTATCTCACTCAGCTTCGTCAGGACCAATGGGATTACTGCATTTCAACCCTCTATTTATAGTGGATAAAGACCCACCCACATATGCAAAAATCACATTGCAGTTATCCCTAATGGAAGAAAAAAGGCTAAATATTTAGCACATCCGCTGGTCATAGTTAAATTAAAACAATAAGCGACTGGAAAGATCAAAGGGAGGAAAGACTTGACAAATACAGCAATATACACAAAAGTACCAAATAAAACACAGAAATTATATTCAATTGAAAATTACCACACTTTCACCAGAAGATGGCAGTGTTAATGAAAAGGTCCCCAAGTCAATTAGTTAGGTCAAAGATACCCAAGGACACAGTAAAAAAATTACCACAAGACCACCACAAGATGGCGGTATTAATTGACAAATCCCTCTGTGGATTATTTTACCCAGGGTTCCTATACTTCAAATTAACCACTAATTAGTGTACATTTATTCCCAGAGGAGAGGAAAATAATTCAAAAGTTAGTCCCTTCTACATTTCTAGACCTATATTTTAATGTGTACCATCGGGTAATTAAATATCTCCCCAATGTGTACCATCGGGTAATTAAATATCTCCCCAAAGAAGGCTTACCTTAATTATTTAGTTAACATATTATCCTCAATAATTCAATTAATACGTTATCCAGCCATTAACAGGATTGAGGAGTTACCACAGCTTAACCAGCATGTGGAAATATAGAGAAACATATCCATATAAATCTATTTATCCAGAAA